TTAAACACAAACAAATTTTATAATTTTATATATTTATTTTTTCTTCTTTTTTATTTTCCTAATATCTTTACTAGTAATCTCTGGTAACGCTCCTTCTGATTGAACAAAATCTAAATCGTAAATTTCTTCACCAAATTTTTTCTTAAATTTAGACAATTGTCCACTTTCATCACTCAAATGACCTGAAAATGTTTCAGGGTTCCACAATGGATGATTACGAGTATCTCGTATTAATTTGATTAATGGTTTAGGCGATGTTGTCCGCATTGTAAAAGTAGCTCCATTTGATAAAACAATTTGTTGTGTGAATAATTCTGGTCTCGATTTAATTGGTTCTCTTTTTAGCTTTTTTTTGCTAGAGTAATGATTAAGTTGGATTTTGAATAAATTGTTTGTTGTTTTGATTGATAATAATGGTGATAGTAATAAAGATGGAAAAGATGACGGCGATGATGGTTTAAATAAATACTTTGAAAAAATGTGCTTTGATGATATCGAAGGAATCATTTTTATAATCTGTTTGAAAAAGATTTTTTTTAAGTATTAATATATTATTTTTTTTTTTTGATAATCAAGCTTCAGTGATCAGCGATGGTCGTATCGTGTAACATCTATCAACTTTTTATAAAAACAAGAAATATGAATCCATTTAATAAAACCATTACAAATAATTTTATTAGAAATTACGTTAGAAAATTTAAAAGTATTCAATCAAATAAACGCCATTTATCCACTAATTCTTCAAATCAAAATAATTATAAAGAAATCCCATTTTCAAGTACTAATATCATTATTATCATTATCACATTATTTATCAAACTACATCTTTCTTTTTCTCTTTATTAATATATCTTTTATTTTTAGAACGATTAAAAGAAGCATGGAACAAAACAGAAATTAAATGGTATCCTATACCAATCGGAATTGGTATAGGAGTCATAGCTTTACAACAATCAAAACATATTTATGAACGTGAAAAAAGTAAAAGGGAGGAAGAGATTGTTAATGATTCTACTATTTCACCGAGAAAAAAATCAACTATTGTTGGTCCATTGCAAGTATGTTAAACTTTTTATTTTTATTTGTTTTCTTTTTTTTTTAAAAAATTTATTAAATTAAATTAAAAAAAAAAGTTTAATATAGGTGCATGTTATAGGTGCGCTTCCTCTACGAGCAATATCAAGATTATGGGGTAAACTAAATAATGAATACGATTTACCTGTTTGGGCTAGAGTTCCGGTCTACAAACTATATAGCTGGTTGTTCGATTGTAATTTAAGTGAAATTGAAAATACCAATCTTAAAAGTTATCCTAACTTGGGATCTTTTTTCTGTCGATCGCTAAAATCTGGTGTCAGACCAATTGATGATTCAGACCTTGTACATATATTTAGGTTTTTTTTTGAAATTAATTATTTATTTTTTTGAAAATATTCTTTATATATATATATATATATATATACATATACATATATGTGCGTGTACATTTATATCAAATTGAATAGGTATCGCCAGCAGATGGTGAAGTGGTCATGTTTGGTTTGGTTAAAGAAGATAAATTAGAACAAATTAAAGGAAAGGCTTATTCTTTGGGTGCATTTTTGGGAAAAAAGAATCATCACAAAGATAATGATGTAACTACTACTATTCATGAAGTTGAAGTCGACAATGTCGATTCGATTAATGAAGACATAGCTATAATAGATGAGAATGAATTTGCTAATGTTAATGGGATCACCTACTCATTGGATACATTGTTAGGGGATGATCTTGTTGATTCCAAAAAACAAGAAAGTTCAATTGGTGATGATGCGTCAATTGTTCCCAATAACAGCAGCAAGAATAGTGATGGTAGTAGTATTAACAATGAATCTAAGGAGGAAATTGTAGCAAAAAGTGTTTTATGGCCAATTAGTCCAATACAATTTTCCACAATAGCAACCATTGTTTCAACAAACCTTTTACTGGCCATATCTAACACTTTAGGTTTACCTGAATTACTAATAACATCATTATTATTATTAATTGCTGATGCGCCAATTTCCGTTACGTTATTACCGTTGTTACCTAAATTTGAATTTCCATCGTTGCTGTGATAATCTAAATTACTATTATTATTGTTTTTATTGCTACCAACTCTAATATTAGTTGCAGGTAAGGATCCTATACCAATATCTGCAGCATCTAGAGGAATATTATTACTATTATTACCCTTCGGTTGCTCAAATTGTATTACTGTGGTGATTGTATGAATATTACGATGAATTAAAGATTCTATTTTAAGCAGAAAAAATGTTGCTAAGTGAATATATCCTGGGGCAGTAAGATATTTTAAAGGAGGAGTTATTGATTTGAAGGCAACTGAATTGGGAATGTTTAAATACGTTTTTAAAACTATGTGATAATGTTTGTAAAATGAAAAAAACAATTCACTATCATCACAAAGATAATGATGTAACTACTACTATTCATGAAGTTGAAGTCGACAATGTCGATTCGATTAATGAAGACATAGCTATAATAGATGAGAATGAATTTGCTAATGTTAATGGGATCACCTACTCATTGGATACATTGTTAGGGGATGATCTTGTTGATTCCAAAAAACAAGAAAGTTCAATTGGTGATGATGCGTCAATTGTTCCCAATAACAGCAGCAAGAATAGTGATGGTAGTAGTATTAACAATGAATCTAAGGAGGAAATTGTAGCAAAAAGTGTTTTATGGCCAATTAGTCCAATACATGGACATCATTTCAAAGAAGAAAGTAAGCTATATTTTTGTGTTGTATATTTAGCACCTGGTGATTATCATAAATTTCATTCACCAACAAATTGGGTTGTTGAATATAGACGTCATTTTGCAGGTATGTCATTTTGCAGATATATCATATACAGTATATATACATTCTATCTATCTATATATTTATTTATTTATTGATCAATTAATTAACTTTTATATATAATCTAGGAGAATTATATTCCGTTTCACCATATATGTTGAGAATATTAACAGATTTATTTGTGTTAAATGAACGTGTTGTGCTATTAGGGAGATGGAAACATGGATTTTTTTCTATGACTCCTGTTGGTGCAACTAATGTTGGATCTATAAAAATAAATTTCGACAAGGTACCTTCTACTTTGCTATTAATACAAATATATGTTTATAAATATTATTTATTAATTTACTTAATCTTTTCTATATTAAAAAAAAAGGCACTTTGTACAAATAAAGGTGAAGATTTAACAGTTGGTACATATACGGAAGCTTCATACAGGAAAGCTAGTAAATTATTAGGTGGTCAGCCTTTAAGAACTGGCGATGAAATAGGTGGATTTCAATTAGGTTCTACTATTGTATTAGTTTTTGAAGCACCAGATAATTTTAATTTTTCTATAAAACCTGGCCAGAAAATTAAATTTGGTCAAAAATTAGGAAATGTTTCTTAATCAATTTTTTTCACTTGGAAAATTTAAAATACATAATGCATAATATATAAAATTATACATTTTAATTCATATATCTATTACTCATTGACTAAAATTTCTTTTTATTCCCAATCTCTCCATTTGCCACTACTGAAGTATTATTATTATGATTTTTCTCTTGATATTTCCTCTGATAGAAATCCCGTGCATTATATGACCAATTCATTCAGACAAACATATCTGACCGGCTATCTTATTTGCTACCTGGTCATATGGCCATCATTAAATGACAAGAATCTCCAAGCTGGAAATAATCTCTTCTTGATAATATTAAGTTTATTATCAAAAGAAAAATCCTTGGTATATCTTGATCTTGATAATTCATTATACATACATACCAAAAACTGTCTTTGATAATAATCTTCCTGAAACTAGAGAAATTGGTCAAAAACAAAGTTTATTACTACATAGACCATGCATATTACACCTAACGTATGGTGTTGTCACAACAGGAGTTTTATTATTATTATTACAAAAAAATTTGCTAAATGCTTGTCCGAAATAAAATAAATAAATAAAAAAATTTGTATTTTATGCAAACTTTTTCAACGGATTATGATTACGATTATTATTATTATTATTATTATGTAGTAGTTTAAAATCCAAAAGGAGTCTTGATTCACCATCCTCAAGATCACTTGACGGCATTGTTATTGTTGGCGGTTGTGGTGGTGGCAATGAAGAAGATGATAATGTTGATGTTGTTGTTAATTCTTTGAACTTGGAGATGATTTGATTTGATTCTGACAATGATTGAATTTCAAGAAACAAATCATCTTTATATGAATTATGTTGTTTCAATAAAAATGGTGGCGGTGATGTAGATTGTATTGTTGGTTGTGATATCAATAAATTATCTTTTTTCTTTGATTTCCTAAATCTACTATTATTAACATTGAAAGTACCGAAATTTATCACATCTTCTTCAAGATAATTATTGTTTTTTTGTAAACTAATTTGATGCTTCAAAAGTTCATGAATAGTCAAACTCTCCCCATTTTCAATATTACAGTCATAAGATACAGTTTTACAACTTGTGCCTGCGCCTTTACGTAATACATGATCAATATCAACTGTTGAAAAAAACGCAGTGGACTTTATATGCAAAAGTAAATTAATTAATTAATATAATGTATTGAAGTAATGAATAAAGTTAATCATTTATTATTAAATTACATCTTACCAATGGTAAATCCTCAATTCCCATCATATAACTAAACATTGCTCTTGTCCATAAATTACTAATTTGCAATGCTAACGCAGCCCGATAACTATCATGTTCTTCAACAAGAAATCTTATTTCATCATAAATCGATATCATAAATCTTGCCTTTATATCATACTTCTCAATCAAATATTGCATAGAGACCAACAGCAAATGAAGATAGTCAACTCCGGATGATTGAACTACCCAATTTATCTTTGATCTCATATATTCAGATTTAGATGCCCCCTTTTTCAATGCTTCAGTCATCCCACATTTTAAAACTGGTGTTCTAGGTGCAAATGAAAATGCTATATCTTCCAAACTATTAAACATATAACTTTCACTTCCTCCATACCAAAAATCATCATAAGGTATTTTTTGGGGTTTATTCTTGTTATCTTTGATATTTTTTGATGCAAATCTTTTACCTTTTGTGAAATTAAATAATTCTTCTGCGCGTTCAGATGCTTCTTTTTCTGTAATATTCAAATTACATTGTCTTAATAATTGTGCTGCAAACTTTAATCCAGCCCCGTATATTCTACCATAATTAAATGTTTTTGCATCAGATCTTGAAATTTTTAAAATTTTGGCCGTTTGTGAATGCATATCTGTACTCTCACTTTTATTTCCTTGAATGGTCATCCAACTCATAGCTGTTGAACCATGAAATCCAAATTGTGAATCACCAATTAGACTTGATATCCACAACTCCTCTGAATCCACATCTGCTCCAATTATTTTATAACCTTTTGGAGCTTGTATTAAAGCCTTAAGTTCTGATCCTACTCGATTTTCCTCGATATTACTAACGGTCATCCAGGTACTTTCGACAGAACGACGTGTAATAGTTCCCATCGCTATTGTTTGTGGTAAAATCATTCCAATCTTTCCATCACCATCACCGTCATTACTATTATTCTGATTATTATTAAATTTTTTAAATCCCATATTTTTATTATGGTTTCTAATTTCAGGATGATTTTCATATACCACCATCTGGCCCAATGCACGTTCTCTAACTGATATCCAATATGAGCAACTAACACTTGTATCAAATACATTTTTGGTTATACTGTCGAACTCTGATGTTATTATTTTTTTTTCATAATCACTAAAATACTTTTTTGAAAAAGGTGTCATACAACGTGATTCATCATTAAGCTTATTAGGAACACAATAATAAATTCCATTTTTATCACTTGCAAGCAACTCGTCACCACCCAATAACGATTTTTGTTTAGGTTTTGATTTTCTCTTTGATTCTACTAATTCTTTTTCTGCTTTTAAATGTTTTTTTGATTTCGCTTCTTTTATTAAAGATTCGAAAAATCCAACATCTGGTGATGATTTATCATTTTCATTTACATCAACAACATCATCAACGGCATTTCCATAATCAACATCAACATTGACAATACTATTAATATTATTATTAATATTATTATCATCATCATCAACTAGCATATATTCTTTTTTGAATTCTGTGGCATCATTTAAATTAGCAGATGTGAAATCCCTTTGTAATTGAAAACTAGATGACAAATCATTATCAATACTTTCCACTTCAAATACACATGGCTTTTCATTAGTTTTATAATTAGAATTTTTTGGTACTCTATAAGTCCAACCATATTGCATTGAATAATATAATGGAAATTCTTTCCACTTCAAACGTAACAAAATAGGGGTAACTTTCATTCTATGAGATAATTTTAGTCTACCCTCTTTAGGATCATAAATTTCTCTACACCATTTAGGATAACCGGGAAGAAATTTTGCATTATTTGAACTAGGTGACCAATCCAATTGTTTCAAGAATTCATCTTGCTCCACTTTGTCAGGATTTTTCATACCTTCTTCCAAAGTAGCTAATGCTAAATCTTCCAAATCTCGTTCCATAGACATACGTTGTGATTGAAAGATATCCTCAATCTTATTAACATGTTCATTCCAATCATTTGAAGTCGGTAAAAACATACTACCCATATGTAACATTCCAGCAAATGATACCGGATGTGGGCAAACATCAAAGAATTGAGGTAAAAGTTTACAATAAATTCTATGAATAGCAAGTACATCATTAGCACAATAAGTCATAATTTTCTGAAACATTCCTGGTATTAGCACATCCTCAATTGTTCCATTTACAAAAACTTCTTGTAATGATTTGTCAATATCTTCGTGACAATGTAATCTATAGACATCTTGAAGATTATTTATAGAACTAATGTCGTATATAGGCTTAAATCTTTTCGCATCATTCAAAAAATTTTCATTTTTTTCAAGCATGGCTTTCTGATACTTGATCCATGTTGAGCGTTGAGTTGAGGAAAGACCATTCACAACCATGTGTAAACATATTGTATCCAAAAATTTATTTTTAGAACCGCTACATGAATATTCTTCTAAAATACGTGCACGATCAAACCCTACATTATGACCAATTATTATACGATCTTGACTAATATTACCCATAGGAATCAAATTACCAATTTGTTTGGAATTATCATCATCATCATTATTATTATTATCATTATTGGTTGATTGAATTCCTTGTTTATATTCAATTAACCTTGGTGAAGTCCAAGCATACCAAGCAGTGGGAGAAGCAGCGCAGGCAATCATACCATAATCACCATAACTAGACATTGTTTCCACATCAAAACATAAAATCTGCTCCCTAGGATAATCCACAGGTTCTGGTACTTTATTTTTTACATAACGAACCCAACCTGGTTCAAATTTCCAATCTGATGGCGATGGCATTTCAGGTAATTTTCTTAAGTTTGCAAACTCTTTAGCAAGTTTAATATGTGGACTTGCTTGTTGATAACCTAAATACCAAAAATGTTCTGCTATTGTATTCCTTGTTAATTTTGGTAAATTGAATTGCGGTGGTAGAGATGGAAATTCTTCTAACTTTTTTTCAAGTAAATCATTTTTTTTCAAATGATTTAAAGATATAATTATATGTTTTTGATTAAGCTCAGGCCGCTTCTTACGTTTAAATATACTCTCATAAAGCCATTCTGGTAACATTTTAACACCTGATGGATTAACATCTATATAAATAAAATATAAGCCAATTAATTGATTGATTGTAAAAATTTTAAGTCTGATTTTTGAATAGATTTGGTGTAGTAAAAAAAATAATAATAAAATAAAACCAAATCGACTAAAAATCAGTTTGACAACCTTTGATTAAAAAAATCAAATACCAGCATATTTTTGAATTTTATAAAACTTTAATATTAAAGAAACAATAAAAAGTAAGGGGAATCTATTATTATTTCTCATTGTTGCAGTTGACGAAGGTGATGTTGATGTTGATAATTGTTTATTATTATTAAATTTAATGTAGCTTTTTTGGTGCAAAGATACATCTATTCTTGAAAATCTCGTATTATAAAACATAGAAGTGTGTTTTAAAAACTTTGAATTTCCAAATTTTATCATTTTATAAATAATAAGATGGGTTGGTTGGTTTGACGCGTTTTTAAAAATGATCTACTATGAAAAGTGAGAGGATGATCAACTCGAATATCCATAAAAAAACCCCGGATTGACTGATCAATTATACACTCACTGGACAAAAATATATGAACTTTTGTCGATCATCAAAAATAATCAAGTGACTTTGACATAATAAAACTAAATTTTTTATTAACCTAATCGTTCTTATTTATTAAGTAGAAATCCTTTTTCATATCAAATTATATAACATACTGAAGTCTTATTGCATATAAATAAAAATTGATTGTTCTATGTACCTTAAAAGATAAATTGAAAAATTTTCAAAAAATCTTCATCTCGAAAATTGACCACAGGTTTTAACGTTTCTTCTTATGGTATAAGTAAAAAATGATGCAGAAATAAATGGTATTAAGGAAGACATTGCACAAATATTCAATAAAGGTAATTGTAGTTTTAATATCACTAATAATAATAATAAGTAGTTGCCATTAAATATACAAATTGCCAAATTGTAATTAAATTAATTAAATCGATGAATTGCTAATAATATAAATAAGATAATTAAATTTTTTAATTTTATGATATTTACTATGTCGCGTACACATACTGTATGTATATACTAAAAATTCAATATGATGGTCACTGACGTCACTGACCGATATTGCTTAGATTATGTCATAACCGTGAAAAATATTGGGTCAGGTTACACGATCAAAATCATAGTGGGCTGCACGATAATTGTCTAAAGCATCATTGTTTCTAAAAAACACCTGCCGTAATTAGTTATTTGTGGCGATGGTAACTACCATAGGGTAGTTACCATTATAAAATATTTACGGCAAATTTTCACTGTAAATGAAATAAATGAAATAAATGAAATTGAATTCAAAAATTTAGCTACTGCAGATCACAAATAATTCAAGAAAATTTTCTCGTGACTAATATGGCTAAATGACAATAATTACATTTAATCTTGAAAATATTTGCAGCAGTCGTAGTTATTTGCGAAGCCGTATCTACATACAGCAAATGGCAGCTGCCAACGGCTATTTACGGCAAGTGTCTTTATTCATGATCAACAATGGATGAATTTGTAATTCACATATCAAATTAGCCAATCAGAATCTCATATCCAAACACTCATCCAAACTTTTCATTATGGATTTCAAATTGCATAGTCTCAATTTCACATACAACAGTTTCAAATGGTTTGGTTCAAAGAAAAAACTTGAAGTTTAATAGCCTTTACTAAATTTATATAATTCATGTGTCCATTGTTTATTAATCAAAGTATGGTAACACAAATTATTATTGCATTTCCGAGCATTGACTGTCTCCCTTTTAAAGCTGAATTGAACGAATGGTTTTTTTAAAACTCAACATGTGGATCACACATTATATTTTAAATTTTTTAACTTTCGAGTCGCACTATACAAAATTTATTATTGCATAACTCTCATTCAAAATATATGAAAAAAAAAATTGACAAATTTTTTTAGATGAATTGACTAAATGATTCCGCACTGTATAAAAAGAATTTTAGATCGTCAAATCACGAGATCACCTCGGATAATTATAATTGAACTGGTGGTATGTAAGGCATCATAAAAAGTTGCCTTACTAAATGGCAAGCTAGTTTCCTTTTTTGGTCCATTTTTTTTTTACTATAATTATCCGAGGCCTATCACGAGTTCGGTATATATTAATATATGATTTTATCGACATGAGTAATTTAATGTATTACAATAAAATGTCACAACAATATTAGAATTTAATTATAAAGTTTGTTGTAGAGAACAGATTGGTCCTTGGTCACGGGTTTGCTTAAAATTCTGCCAGTTAATATATCAATATTTACTGGTAGATACGCTACTGAATTGTAAGTTTCAGGAGAATGGATGATATATCCATTCAGATGTCCATATACAATACGAAGGAGCCGTCTAAAATTTAAATTACATAAATACGTCAAAACTTGCGAGATGAATGAATGACCAAAATAGATAGATATGTCAAAACTTGTGAATGTATTCACATGTATGATTATTATTATTCTTAGTGTTAGTATTGTTTTTTGTTTCACAAATATTTTTCATGATCAATTTTATTTGGGCAAAATTTTTTAAAATTTTTTTTAAAAAAAAAACCCCTTTAGAAAAAATATAAATTTAATAAATTAAAAAAAAAGATACAAAAAGAACCATCTCCATCAGCTGTGCTGATAATCATAAGCTTCATATATTTATATAAAAAAAAAGTCTATTTTCGTTGAATATCATATATTCGGATTTTTTTCTCGATAGAAAAATATCGACCATTAAATAATTGGTTGTAACTTAATCCAGCAGAAATGACAGTCACCGCCAAGACTACCACAACAACAACAACACGACAATCAGACAAAAAAATTAAAAATAAATTTATTTCTTTGCTAACCAATAACAATTCCTCCACCTCCCTTACCTCTATCTCACCCAGCATGGATACATCTACTTCTGAGACTAAAAAAAAATCAAATACCAAATATAAATTATTTAAAGCTTGGAGCCAGTTACAAGATTCTGAATACAAGAGTCTAGGAAAAGCTTTGGACAAGTCAGTTTTTGTTTTCAACTATTAAAAATTAATTTTTAATAGTACTTTGAAAGCCATTATTTATTAAGCATATATACATACATGTTTATTTTTAAAGAACAGATTTCAATCTAAAGATCGTCACAAAGTTGAAACTCTAAAAGCCATAGTAATTCCTTGGTTAAAGAAACATATAACAGGTAAAAAAAATTATTAAATTTCTTTCAATTGATTTTTTTCTTCAATTCTCTAATTCATTATTAATAATTATATTTGAATAATTGTATAACAATTATATAGTAAACTCATCTGATAAAGGACTGCAATATGGTCGAATGATATTTTTGAAATGGTAATATTACATCGTAGTAATTTAATCACAAACAATAACTTATACATTTAATAATTTTAATCAATTTTTTGACTCACCTAAGGTGGAATCTTCTGATAACATTTTTACCTGAAGCAGCTTACACCGATCGTACTTTGTATTTTGAATGCATTTTGATGTTGATGACTAGGTTAATAAAAACTATCATTTATTTATTTATTTATTTATTTATTTATTTTATTTATTTATTTATTTATTTATTTAGTAATCATTATAAATTATTAAATTAATTTTAATATTAATTTTAGAAATGAATTTGACAATTTAGGTAAGAAAGAAGCAATAAATCACTATAATAATTCAACAAAAGTATTAACATCAAATTTTGCTTGATGTAGATCACATTGGACCAATTCCTCAAACTGCAACTGTTAATTATGTGGATATTCCTATAGAGACAATATTTACTTATCGTGCTGCTTTAATGAACACTTTGAACTATGCTATTGATAGATTAAATCAAAAAGGTGTATACTCCAATGTGATATCTTTTTGTGCCCGTGTATTAGGTAATAAAATATTTATTACTTTAAGAAAATTATTTGAATAATAATAAAAAGTTCCTATCAACATACTTTACTTTTTTATTTTTTTTAATGAACAATTTTCTAGCAATATGCTTCTTCAAGATTCCTGGTGTAGGGTTTGCATTATTACAAGCTTTACCTGTTAGTAAATCCCACATAAAAAGAATGTTAAATGAAACCATTGGTGATGAAGATAAAAGGTTATTCATTACAATTAATATATTATTTAATTTTTTTTTTTAAAGAAAATAACATTAAATTAAATATTAAAAATTTCAAAAAATAATAATATTATTATTAGTATTGAACCGATTAAAAAACAAAATGATGAGACTGCTTCATTCTTTCCTAATCATTTAAAGACTGGATACTAATAAAAGAATTAAAATATTATTTTAGAATGCATGTTTAGCAACAACAGCCTTCATTGCTCATCTTTGTAATCAATTAGTTGCTGATGAGATAGTTGCACTACAAATACTAATGTTATTGCTTAAACATCCTACAAGCGATTCTGTTGAGGTAGCTGTAGGATTTATGCGGGAAGTTGGCGCCCATTTAACAGATATTACTCCGAGAGCAACTAATGATGTTTTTGATCGTTTCAGAACAATATTACATGAGGCTAATATAGAAAAAAGAGTTCAATATATGATTGAAGTTTTATTCCAGACTAGAAAAGATAAGTTTAAAGATAATCCATCGATCATTGCAGAATTAGATCTGGTTGAATCAAAAGATCAAATTACCCACTATATCCAGTTAGATGATGAATTAGATGTACAAGAAACACTTGGTATATATTTATTTGTTTATTTATTTATTTATTTATTTGTTTGTTTATTTATTTATTTATTGTTTATTTATTTATTTAAATTATATTTTAAACTTTTATTTTAATTTTATCATTAATGTATATATATAGGTATTTTTCAATATGATATTGACTATCTTCAAAACGAACAAAAATATGATCAGATCAAAAAAGAAATATTGGGTACTTCAGATGATGAAGAAGATGATGATGAATCAGGAACTGATAATGATGGCGACGATGATGATGATTCTGAAGATGATGATGATGAGGACAAAGGTTTATAAAAGTTTCTAAATATTATATTTCATTATATCTTTAAATATTAATTGGGGTCTATAATTTTTTATAGGTGCAGTGGAGAAAATGAAAATTATTGATCAAACAAATACAAATATCATAAATTTACGAAGGGCTATTTACCTTACCTTAAAGTCAAGTCTTGATTTTGAAGAATCTTGCCACAAGATTATGAAAATGAACATTAAAGAGGGTCAAGAGGTAATCTTCGTTTTATATATATATAATTTTTTTGTAAATTTGATTGTTACAACCGAAATACTCAATATTATTGTTATTTTTCCTTTGTGATTTAGATGGAGTTATGTTTGATGATAATAGAATGTTGTTCTCAAGAAAGAACTTACGAAAAATTTTTTGGACTTATTGGTGAAAGACTTTCCAAAATCAATGCAATATGGGCAAAAACTTTTGAAAAATGTTTTGTTGAATGCTATGAAACAATCCATCGTTATGAGTCAAATCGACTACGTAACGTTTCAATGTTTTTTGCACACATTCTATCAACTGATGCAATTTCCTGGGAAGTCTTCCGAGTAATAAGACTCACTGAAGAAGACACTACATCCAGTTCAAGGATCTTCATTAAAATATTATTTGAAGAACTATCCTCTACATTGGGTATGGTCAATTTAAAAAATCGTTTAAAAAGTGACCCTGTTATATTATCAGATTGGACTCAAGGACTATTTCCTAAAGATAGTCCAAAAAACACTCGATTTGCAATCAATTATTTTACGTCTATTAAATTAGGTGCATTAACAGATGATCTTAGAGAACATTTGGCAGTAAGTATATTAAAAATAGATTTGGTTGTTTAAAAAATTTTTTTGTTATTATTAAAAAACTTTACCAACTAATTCAAATTACCTATAAATTTTTAAGAATGCTACAAAATTGCTTGCAGCACAAAGCAAAAAATTAAGTGAAGATACATCATCTGATTCTTCATCTGATTCTTCATCTGATTCTTCAGATGACGACGATGATTATAGTGATTAATGATAGATGATAATAATGCAATGATGATATGATAATATTATTTTCGGATATATTAATTGTTATAAATATTATAAAATAAAAACAGAGATTAATAAAACTATTTAAATACAACTATTTTATTAACTAAAAATGAAAAATTTTCAAATAAAATAAATATTTATATAAAATGTTTAGGCTTCTGTTTCAAGGAAGAAGTAATTGCCATTCAATTTTTGGTCTTTATCTTTTGATGATCCAACTTTATTAATTCTAGGCCTAAAATTAGTTGGATCACGTCTAAATGTAATCTCCAATGATGAAAGGAATTTATTCATTCCTGATAATAAAGATTGCGGCCTATATGATTTTTGACAAATTATCAATAAGATAGATAAATATATTGGAAAATAAAATTTAAAATAATAAATTTAAAAAACTTACGTATTAGCAACCGCTTTAACAGAAGGTTGACCTTCATATACAACAACACGATCTGCTAAATATGTAGCCATTATAAAATCATGCTCAACAACAAATGCAGTCTTTTTATTGTGTAAGATAAACCTATAAATGGTGATAATATTGTTATTATAAGAATTAATGAGATTTTAAAGAATGAATGTAATATAATGAGCATTTGTGTACCTTTTGATAACTTTTGCAGCAATAATACGTTGTTCTGAATCTAAATAAGCAGAAGGTTCATCAATCAAATAAATATCAGCAGGTTGACCTAATGCAAGCACAATAGCAACACGTTGAAGTTCACCACCAGACAAATGTATAACTTCTTGATCTATAATAGGATCAATTTGCATAGGTTTGACAACATCAGTTTGAAATTGTGCATGCATAAATGCTGGTTTGATCTTTTGAAGAAAAAGTGCTCTGACTGTTCCTTGATATTTAGGTGAAATCTTTTGAGGTTTATAACTAACATTTAACTCTGGCACATGTTCTTCACCATCAGGTTTTGTTATACCAGCTAGAAGACGGATAAATGTTGTTTTTCCTGTTCCATTTTCACCAAGCATAACAATAATTTCTGAATCAGTAAACTCTCCAGCATTAACAGTCAGATCAAAATCACCTAAACAATAATTAAGATATATATTATTAATACACAATATTCATAAAATTTTCCGGAGATTTTGTTTATAATTAATACATCATTATTACCTAAAGTTTTCTTCATGTCTGGATATTGATATCTTCTAAATTTATCAACTTCTTTTTCATCTTCTGCGGTTTCTGCTAATTTAAAAGTCAAAGATTCATCACGGAATCTTAAATTTTCCGTTGGCACTTTACCATCCAAGAAAATATTAATGCCTTCACGAACAGTAAAAGGCATAGTAACGACACCATATATTGATGGCATTCCATAAAGCACACAAATAAAATCAGAAAGATAATCTAAAACTGACAAATCATGTTCAACAACGATTACATAACTAAATATAATAATTAATTCAATAATTAATATAACGATAATATTGTTATTGTTATTGTCATTAATATAAATACTTTTATTAACCTTTCTGGTTTTAATAAAGATCTTATTGTTCTGGCTGCTTTTAGACGTTGTTTAACATCCAAATAAGATGAAGGTTCATCAAACATGTAACTATAATGAAATTCGTAAATATTTAACGATTAATATTTGAAAAATAATTAGATCTTTTTAATTCAAAACTTTTACATATATTTATTCATTATATGGGACTTACATATCAGCATTTTGAATACACACAACAGCAATAGCAAAGCGTTGAAGTTCTCCACCAGATAATTCATTAACTTGACGTCTCAGTATTTCACGCAAATCCAAAGCATCAATCATTTCTTCCTTATTATCACGTTCTAACTTTGCATCAATTAACTCAGTAACTACACCTTTAACAGCTCTTGGAATGTGATCAACATATTGTGGTTTGATAATAGCCTAATATGTATATTTTATCTACTTGTATTTAATTAGAAAATATTTTATTATATTTGGAATAAAATAAAAAATTACCTTTAAATTATCTTCTAATATTTTTGTGAAATAATTTTGTAATTCTGATCCACGAAAGTATTTTAGGATTTCTTGCCAATCCGGAGGATCCTTTTATTGTACAATATATCAAAATTAAATAAATTAATGAATTAATATAAACTATATTATATAATTCAAAGTAGTAATATTAAAGAATTTATAATTACATCATATCTTCCTAAATTAGGTTTCAATTTTCCTGCCAAAATTTTCAAAGCAGTACTTTTTCCAATACCATTTGTACCAACTAATCCAAGTACTTGACCTGGTCTAGGAATAGGCAAACGATGAAGTTTAAAAGAGTTGGCAGAGTAACGATGAGTTACCAATTTTTCTAGATTAGTTGGAAGGTTAATGATCATAATAGCACCAAATGGACATTTTTTGATGCATATACCACAACCAATACATAATTCTTCTGAAATATAAGCAATCTTGCTATCAGGTGTCACCTCAATACAAAGTTTACCTATATATTGTATAAAGTTATTAAAAAAAATTTTTATTGAATCGTTTTTTCTACCCGATGAAGATGGTGTTAACTGACTTACCCATTCTAACCACTGGACAAGATTTTTTACACTCTTGTCTACATTTTTTTGGTTTACACTTGTCCGAATTTACAATCGCAATCCTTGTAAGTTTGTCAGTCATTTTGTATTATTTTTACAATAAAAAATTTTTAAAACTTTACTGATTTGTGACGTATTTTATCAATTTCTATTGGTTTGGTTTGATTGGTTGATAAATAAATAACAGGGGTATTCCCCGATATTTTTGATCGGTCCCAATTATACTTAGGGGTCACCACCCTCGGCATCAGGCGCAGGAAAGGAGCGCTATATAATAAACATCTCATCTTTTTACACACAACTTTGCAAATGAACTCCTTTCAGTCATGACACCAGAACTGGTTCCTCATAACTTCATTCGTGATGAATGAATATGGTGAGATTTGAAAAGTTTTTGGCTGTTTGTTTCATATGCTCACTTTGTCTTGTTTTGTTGCAGCACGCTCCATATGGGACCAAGAAAAGACCGTGCAGTGCAGAACATAGAAGGAATACATTTATCTCCAAGTCCCAAGTTTGAGACTTGGACACAGGGTACACTTATGGAGGGTACAATTATAGAGAGTTGATTGTATATCAATTGATTGACTACTTAAATATAATATTATAACAATAAAAGAATTTTATGTTTTATTGATTTCCCAATACCTTTTTTTCAAAATGCATATTAATATATTTTTCTAAAAAAACTATTATAAATTATAGATTAATAAAATTTTGTACCTATCTATCATAAATATTGGAATAGAGTTGATGTTATACTAATAAGATAATAAAAGATGAATTAATATATCAATATATTAACATAAATATAAATTACTATCATCACTTACTTTGTTAAAAATCTAATTAATACAATTTTTTTAAATTTAGAAGATAGAAGGAATGAAAGAAGGAATGTGAGAGGAAAGAAAAATTGGTACAATTAAATCTAACAGGCTATTAAAAAATATATAGAATAATAATAATATTATTATTACATTAGTACATGTAAAATGTAAAACTCATTACAATTCAAAATTTCAAACAAGGCCAAAAAAAAATAATATAAATACCAATTTATATTTAATCCAGTAAAATTATTCTCAGCAGAACAAGAGAAAAAGATGAGCTTTTTTTTTGAAAAATTTTCTATAAAATAGGAAAAAATATATATGTGCATTCCTGAAAACACAAATAATATTAAGTATTCTATATATATATATATATATACACACATATACATATACATATATATACATATTGGTCAGTAATTAATTTTATGAAAAAAAATTTTTTTTGAAAATAAAAGAATTGAAAAAAAGGAAATCAGTAAATTAGGAACAAGTAAAATAAGATGATAATGGTATTTATAAGCCAATATTGTTGATTAAAAATGTTATTAGAGAAAAAATATTTTAAAAAAAGATGATATTAATCTTTTTTAATGACGATTATGACTTGCGTTTCGAGGAGAACGGCTATGAGAACGACTTCTTGATGAATAACTTCTGCTACGACTTCTAGAAGAATTAGATTGACTTGTACGCGAACTGTAGGAACTGTAAGAATAAGATCTTCTGCGACGAACTGGTGGTGATCTTGATCTAGATCTAGAATATCTTCTTGGAGATCTTCCACGTCCACGATAACTGCTAGCTGTAAATCGTCGAAACGGTGGTGGCGAATTGTATCTCATAATTGCTTTTTACAATAAAATAATAATGATGATGGTGACGGCAATAGCAATCAATATATAATAAATCATGAATCAACCATATTTTATATATATTTTAAAAATTAATACATACGTCTACGTCTAATTGGAGGTGGTGATGGTTGACGACGTGGAACAAATGTACAAGATAACGTATTTCCATCAAGTTGACCCTATTTCATATTAGTTAATTGCATTACTAAATATTTTATTAAAAATTAAGAATTAATGATTAATGATTAATGCATTAATTACCCCATCCATATAACTTATAGCTCTTTCTGCATCGTTTCCAGTTTCAAAATCAATATAAGCTGTACCTTTATTTGTTTGCCCTTTTTAAAATTTTGAAAATATACAATATATTTTCATTCAAATTTTTTTTTAAAAAAATTTTTAACACCCAATTAATGAATATATGACATCATCACATACATTTTTCATCAATCAATACTTCTATTCGATTAATCCTACCAAATGCACCAAATATTTCTTGTAAATGAGCTTCCTTAACATTTTTTGTTAATTTATTAACCATAATTTTTGTAGGAAGTATGGGCGATAAAGAGGAACGTCGTTGTCTACGCGAAGAAGAGGTGTAATTGTGATGACGCGAAGAAGAAGCTGGCGGTGGTGATCTAATGGAGTTACGGCCTCTTGTTGTTGATGCTGTTGGTGCTGCTGGTACTGGTGATCTATTTTCTCTACTACTAGAATAGGAACCACTACGTGAAGAATATGATGAATAAGAATGACGACTTCTTGAGCGTGATATGGAGCGTGGAGGTCGACTCCTTGGTCGACTTCTACTTCTTGATGTCCTTGTCCTATATATTGATTGAATTTTTTTTGATTAGGAGTTTATTTATACTTAAAAAATTTTTTTTGATTATAATGAATATTATTACATTTTACACCGTTGACTATTGATGTATTTTTAAAAACAGCTTTTAGTAGTAGCAGTAATGAGTAACGATAATGATGTTAGCAGTATCGATAGATCTATAAAGTCAAAAAGTGGTTTTTTAAAAAATTAAAAAAAAAATTAATAATATATAAAATTTTTAATATAATAAAATTTGATGATGATAATAATACAAAATCATCTACATCACTATTAACAACAACAACAACAACAACAACAAAAGAATTCAAAGCAGAAGACGGCGAGGAAAACAAAGAAGACGCATACAATGAGGAAACAGGAGAAATTAACTGGGATTGTCCTTGTCTAGGAGGAATGGCAAATGGACCTTGTGGTGAACAATCCAAAGTGGCATTTTCTTGTTTTGTTTATTCAAAAGAGCCAAAAGGCTTTTATTGTCTTGATGCATTCAAAGATCCTGATGTATATGATGATAATTAATTTTTTGAATGATTTTTTTTTAGAAGTTAAAGAATGGTGATATTATCATGATAATAATGATGATAAGATTAATTGTTTGTTTTGTCTTCCATCTGTGAATTTTTTTACAACTACAACAATTTCTTCAGCACCATCACAACAAACAAAACGTAATCTTAATTGCATTAGAAGGATGATTATAATGATCAAAAATTAATTTTTATTATAAAGTTTGGTTTTGACCAGTTCTATATGATATAGATTTTACTATGATCACTTAAATTTTTTGATTTTTGGCTTCTGAAGAAATTCATCCTAGAATTTTGATTTAGTGGGCCTTACTAATTACTAATTTTAACATGAGAAGAAATTGTTACAGTTGTCTGTTTCTTGGTTTTTTGGTTGTGACTCAATGTTTATTACCTTAATATCAAAACCACTAGTAATTGCAGTGCCTGATGACTCTTTTAAAAGACTAGTTCTTGGGTCATGTGTCACAATTAAATATGATCTAAATCATAATTCCCTTTTTACTAGATGGCATATGGAAGAGTTTTAAAGATGCAACTACTTCTTCTTGAAAAACTTCCACCTGGAAAAGCCCTAATCAAACTTTACCCTAATCAGAGGAAAAACAAATCATATTAAAATGGACTGATATAACATTGATATATTGACAAAATCTATTTTAGCATTTGTTAAAAGAATACAAAAAAGAAAAAAGAAAGAAACATTGGCAGCAGCAGCAATATAGAAAATCATTGGTTGATTATTTTTCAATTGATAACAATTAAAAAAGTATATATGGGGCATGCAGGACCTTGGACAATCATATTTGAACTGGTATGTAAGAAAACATAAAAAGTTGTGAAAATACTCAGAATATTTTACTAAAATGGCTAGTGAGTTTCCTTTTTCAGATTTTTTAAAAACCCAATTTTTATTACAGTGAACCCTCTATAAGTGCACCCCCCTTGGGAACATAGTGCTATTTCTTGTGAGTGTGCATTTATGGAGGGTGTGCATTTATGGAGGGTATACATAGTGTGTGCATTTAGGGAGGATGCACTTAGGGAGGGTTCACTGTATGTAAATGCTTGAAGATCTGATTGGTATTTTAACAAGATCACTCACTACCCACTTTTCTCAATACCAGTTCAATTATAATTGTCCAAGGTCCTGGGCATGCTGCAACAAAACCAGACAAAGTTAACATTTGTACTACAAATGTAATTGTTGTAAATTATTTTGTATATACTTAAATAATAATAAAAGATAATAATATACTTTATCACTTAACATTAACTTTTGCTTTTTAAAAATTTAGAAGGTAAAATAAAACAAAAATGTCACAAGTGTCATCAGCAATGTCATTATGTTGTGAGAAGTTAACACTTTGGATTCTTGTTGAAGGTGATCCAGGTCCTACACAATTTCCTGTTGAATGGAACACCTCACCACCAAACTTGGATGATCTTGCATGTAAACTTCGTAAAGAAGAAGATACCTTCAAAAATATTAAACCAAAACTCCTCAAATTCTTTAACTATGATGACAGGATCAACCCTCTCTGAAAAGGTACTCTTGTCACGAATTTGAGCACAACTGATGCAAGTCCTTTGGTTGTATGTTACCCATTCTCTAGTTCTGAAGGTAAAATAAATATTTTTATCTTTTTGATTTCAAATCTATACACCCATCACATTTACACCTGTATATTGTTTGTAGTCATAGTTCATTGCAACTTATCTGTATCCTGGTTCAAGTGTAGATTTCCACACACAAGTGGCCTTTGGTGTCTTCTATGTCACAAAGCTGAAACAAACTTTGAAACTTTGAGAGCAGGAAACCCTTCATATTTTTTTATTTATAAAGAAGATAAAAAGCAAAGTGGTGAAGAACAGGTTGAAAATGAGTTTGCACTCAATAAAGTAGCGGAGAAAATTAAACTGAATGAAAGTGGTGAATATGAGATCAGTCTTTCAATTTGAATTCAAGGTTGGTCAATTTTTTTTAAATTAGATACACAAGTGAAGTGAATACTCATTTGTTTTCTTTTCATTATAGGAAAGAAGGCATATGGAGAATGGGAAATAAGTGAAGTTTTTGAGAAGTTACTGCATAAGAGTGGATCATCAGTAGGTGACATCAATCAGTTTGACATAGGTAACATTCTTGCAATGTTTTCTTATTTTGGATTATTTATCAGAGTGATTTATAACCTACATGTGTGCTTTTTTTTTGAACAGAAAAATTTACACAACCAGATCCAGAAATTTCTGATGATATAGTTAATTCCTTTATTGGTGAACTCAAGAGAAAAAAAAAGACCTTTATTCACATTAATCGTAATGAGAGCACCTGCAGAGAGTTTATTTCTGCTTTTATGACTGCAGCTGTTGAACATGTCCAGTTAAAAGAAAGTAAACTTTGTCTCAAGAGTAAAGAGTGGCTTGATGGAAGTCATGGTTTTGGTCCTGTTGAATATTCTGTACATCTTGAGGAATTTGTTTTATTTGTCTGTGAAGCTAAAAAAAGAGGATTTTGAGAAAGGTGCTGTCCAGAACATTGTGCAAATGCATAGTGCTGTGGAGGTAAATGAAATATTGTACATACTATATTCTGTTTTTTATTGTTTGCTTATTGACATCTAACATTCCATCTTCAGAAAATAAACAAAAAGCAAAAAGATAGATGAGACAGATATGGAACCTGAACCTCAAGTACAAATATATGGTATTGTGACTAAAGACTAGTGCTGTAATCCAAAAAAGGAAAAAGTATGGTTGCAAAAGTGGTTGCAAAGGTAATTGCAACCACTTTTTATATGCCGTAAATACAATTACTACCATCATCATAATTTACAGCACTAGTCTTTAATCTATTAATGAGAGAGCACCCAAGGTTATACATAAAAGTCGCGCCAATTTTTGGTGCAAAATTCCTTTTGATTGGCTAATTTCTCAAAAATTATGATCATAATTATGGTATTCATATAAACATTATGTTCCAATATTAAATCAAAGAAATAAAGATTATTTATGAGAAAAGTTGGATAAATTTATTGTTGTAAAAAAAAAGAAATTTAAATACTGAAAGTAAAGATAATTTAGGGCATGATGTGTTGACTGCGTTAACTACTGCAAATACAGATAATAATATTAAAGAAGAAAAATTTAATTTAGCCAAATGAAGAAATCAGGGGAAATCTAGTGAATGATTTTTGTTGGAGTTGATACTGTAAAGATTAAAATTTATTTATTTTCTTCTTAATCTCTTTTGAAAATTAATTTCTTTTGACGATATTTTATTACTTTGGTCCTCAAATTTATTTGCTGCAATAGCATAAAACATCCAATATTTTTAAAGAAATTACACGAAGAAATTGATAAAGTATTTTTTAATAATGGTGTTAATGATGAGAATATTATTATCACTCAAGAAAATTATCTAATTTGGTTTATTATGAAGCTATTATCAAAGAAACTTCAAGGCTGTCACCAATTAATACATTTGTTGATTTATAAATACTGGAAAAGATACAATCAAGAACCTTGAATGGCCAACCAATACAGTATTTTTAATGAACACATTAGCTTTGAATTGAGACGGGAAAATCGAATGAATTTGATCCTGATTGATTTTTTAATAAAAAAAGGATGCTTTGATGTTTGGTGGTGGTCATAGAATATGTCCAGGAAGAAAATTAGCAATGGTTCAGATGAAATG